CCCTATGGCCACATGGTGAAAACTGCGGGCCTGATCTCCAGATCTGCATTATGGCCCTTTCTAAAATCCTTCACAGACTTCTTCCTTGGGTGAAACTGAAGTGGTCCTGGGATCCCAGGGTGCCCTCTGACTGGCTCCTGTCTGTCTTTCAGCTTCCTGTTCAACCCTCCCTTGGCTTACTATGCTCGCACCCAGAAGTTGGCAAACCACAGCCAAGTATTTTAGAGTTTTATTAGGACACAGCACACCCCTATGTTTATGTATCTCAGTTGGCTGCTTTCACACTGCAATGGCAGAGCTAGGCCATACAGACAGAAACCATATGGCCCGCAATGTGAGCACATGGTAACATTTAATGAAATCTGGGAAATGAGGTCTGGTTGAGGGTCCAAGAAGAAGGAATGGCTTTGGTCATCAGCTAAGAATTTTTGCTGTAAAATAAAAGTTACGTGTATGGGGGCAGGGGCACTGAAGCCCTCAGTGACTATCATACTGACTATCATACTCTCATGCCCATCAAAGATCCTTGGAACACACTCCTGCAGGGCTTATGACTTCTGGACACACACTTTGTAAAAGCACTGACTCTACTGCTTTGATTTGGTATTTTGATTAAGGTGACTTTTGTATTTTTGATTGCTCTTACACCTACATGCTGCAGACATTCCCCTACCACAGTGCTTAAAGAACATGCAATAGAAAGCCAATAACTCTTAACCACTTGATGTTGTACCCCAATCTACTTCTTAATCATAAGTAATGGTGATAATTGTAGCTGACACATGCTACTCACATGCAGCACTGTCCTATCTAATGTTCTTGGAGGAGGGAAGCACATGTCATCTATGTTATAGATGAGAAAACTAAGGAAAAGAGAAGTGATGTGATTTGCCCAAGGTGTGCGATAATGAATAATGAGTGACTGAGCTAGACTTAAACAGTAGCTCTGACAACAGAGTACTAATTAATTGGAAGTGTGTCTCCTTCCACTTTTCCTGTTGCAAACAAGAGGTGAAATGGAACTGTATGCAACTTCTTTGCAATGGAACATCCATGATTCTGGAACCTATTGAATGTTAAATCAGAACACACTATCAAGGATGCCTGAGACTGCACATCTATCATATCTGTCAATCACATACATACATTCTCTAAGAAAGAAATTCTCCTGAGAATATGTTTCAAGGGAAGAAAAGGAAATATAATAATAAGAAACATTGGAGACAGTCTTACTATTAACCAAAGGACAGTTAAGTCATCAGGCTTGGTGGCAAGCACCTTCACGTGCTGAGTCATCCCACTAGCCTTGGGTTTGGAATACTACTTAGCAATTCCCAGTTAGCCATCACTGCCAGCTGTGTGTGCCTTGACTCATCCATCATCTTGCTTTCACAAAGATGTGGAGAGGTGTGATGGTTAGTGTTAAGTGTCAAGCTGACAGGAACTGGATCACTTGGGAGAGGGGTTGCTGGGCATGCCTGTGGGAGATTATCTTGTTGATATCAATAGCTGTGGGAAGACCTATCTTAATTGTGGATAAGACCATTCCCTGGATCTTGGCCTGACTAAGTGAAGAATGGGAACTGAGCACTGTATATATTCATCATTGTTCTCTGTTCTTGATTATGGTTGTGCTGATTTCACTATGATGGACTACCTGGAAATGTGAGCCCAAACAAGCCCTTTCTCCTTCAAGTGGCTTTTCTCAGGGTACTTTGTCACAGAAATTGGAAAATAAACTAAGACAGAGAGAGAGAGAGAGAGAGAGAGAGAGAGAAGGAGAACATTTGATCTCTTGTTTTTAAAGGGTGTACTGTTTGATCCCTTTAGGAAAGAAGACGGGAATAGGTTAAAACATGGTTTAGAATAAAAGGGTGCCAGGACCAGGCAGGAACTATGGCTCAAGAGTTTCTGGGGAGCAAAGTAAGGCCAAATCCCTGCCCAGTATTGTCATTTGGATCTGCTTCCCAACAGGGCTTAGGACCCTCCAGGGAAAGATGGACACCTTTCAAATCATTGTAGGAAAAACTGGGGTGCTCCCAAGTGGAGGAGCAGTGGAAAGGAGCACATCATGGAGAAGACCTAAAGTGGCAGTGTGATTCCAGGAAGGGAGGCTGATGTCAGCAGAGGACAGGATGGCAGTCTGCAGGCTGAGACTAGAGCTTGTCTGGACCCAGCTACCCCGGGAGCATTTGAGAAAGAGTTGACTCTGCAGCCTCAGGAAAGGGTACCGTGTGTATGATTTGGAAGAAGGATGCGTTATATGAAATAGTGACACTATGGGGTTCACACAGCTTTTCAGTGGCCTCCAGGGAGGAGACTTAGCTTTGAGTAATAGTTAGATTAGCTGTCCTGGAGGTGGAAATGGTAGCAGCAAAGACAAGTGGAGCAGAGTTGAACCCTGGAGTCCAGCCATAGTCTACGAGTCAGGGTAGGATTATTTAAGGAAGGTCTGCTGTGAGCCACCAGAGCGCCTGAGATTGAGTACATTTTCCTCCTGAGGGTAGCCCCATGTGCTCTGTCTCACTCTGCTGAGCAGGGAGGTGATGAGAGGCTCTGGCTTAGACATTCAGCAGGCACTCTGAGTTCACCAGCTCGGGTCCTGCAGGCCTTCCTGGTAGCAGTGAGTGTGGTGGCGTCAGGGACAGGGACAGACCCCTCGTCCCGAATGCCGTCTTAGTGGAAGCGTGTGAGCCTGGGCCCGTGGACTCCTGCTTTGGTGAGGACACGCAACAGAATTATTTCTAGCCACATGTTAGCACCTCTGGGCATTTCCAGAAATACTTAAGGGAAAAGAATTCATTAAAGGCTGAGGTGATGCAGGGACACCCATAACTGGTGAAGTGTGAGGTGTTTTGGAAGAGATTATTTAAACAACTCTGGCCAGAGGTTATTAAAAGCATATGATTCCCCATGGGGTCAATGCTTTTCTTTAAGTAGTTTGATGTCTGTGGCCACTAGCTTTGACAATTGCAAGGGTTTGGCCTGAAAGGATTTTATTTTTCTAAGAGTCAAGAAACACCACAGCTAGTGTTGACTGCAGACAGTTTGGAGGCTCCCGCTCTGGGGAGCCTCTCCATCTGCCATCTCTCGACTGTGGCATCTTTTATGCATATTTCGTCTTCCCTTTCTCCCATGTGAGCTATAATGGCAGACGTGTGGTACGGAAACTCGCTGAAGATGACCCATGACTGGCAGTAGCTGGATCTAGTGTCTGGTGGAGGAGGAGGCCTCGGGTCCACCATGGCTTAGGAGAAAGGCTAATTGTGAAAGGCCACTGAAGGGTGACAGGGAACTTCCTGGAATCTGTTAATAATATAACTCAAAGGTGGCACAAATGACTCATGCCATTATTAATACGCCTCGAGCCATTTGGCCGCAAGATTATAGTTTCATTCAGCCCATCCTTCGGAGGGAGACAGAGGGGAAACCATCGCTGCTGACACAGCAGACACGTGGAGGAGGGGAGATCCTCATGTGCCCATTTCTCATGCAGTAACTGGTGAACCAGCAGCAAACATAAATGTCATCTTCCTTTCCTGGTGCAGGCTGAATAAAGCCACGCCCGAGAAAGACCTTGGCCCTGACTAGTCTCCTGAGCTAACAAATACCGAGCCACGGACTTAAAGATCAGCTAAATGATCTGACCTGAAAGCCTGCCTGCCTCCCTTCACCCCCGTTCACTCCCCTGGCCATCTGTCTTCACTTTCTCCACCATTGAACCTCTGCTGTTTGATGGGGGATGCTTGAGGATGCCAATGAATAGTCATCTCACCATGAAAGCTGATTTTTTAAAAAAAGAATTTAAATATCAAGGGGATTTGCCAAAACTAGCCCAAGCATTTTTCATAGACTCTCGTCGTATCATTATGATTTTTAATAAGGTATTTATTAGTTGGCATAATGGAAAGGAAAAACCTTATTTACAATGGGCCTAAAGGAGATGAATGAATTGCTACAGGTTCTAGAAAGAAGGATCGATAAAATACAGTTAACTTTGAAAAGTATTTGATTGCTTGCTGTTTTTCGGCCCTATGTTAAACAGCTCATAGCTAGGGAGATCCATTTCCGGTATCAGGAAGGTGGTTTGAACTGACAGGAGAAGGCAGTCTACTACTTTGAAATCGTGTTTCACCACACACGACTAATAATTTTTTCAAGACTTTTCAATGCCGTAAAGTGAAAAAGGGATTACTGAAACAAACTCATAAAAAAGTTGAAACACAACAAAACAGCATCCCTATCTCTCCTTCAGATGCCCCCCACCCCAAGCTAGACAACTCTCCTGCTTGCAAACTCAGCTGGACACACAGCCTTGCCTCCATTCAGAGAGATCCTGTGAGACCCTAAGTGGTACTGGACATAAAACCATCAGTGGTCCCCCACTTCCCAGGGTGCCAAAGCAGAGCTGCCCCTCTCCCTGCTGCCTTGCTGGTTCCAGTGTCTCATCTCTGCTTCCGTGTCTACATCGCCATTCTTCAAACTTTCTCGGCCCATGCCCACCTCACAGCCTTACCCTTAGTGTTCTGTGGGGTGCCTAGACAGCCACACAGCCTGCTCCTTTATTCAGAGCTCTGCTCAATAGCTTCTCCCCATAAAAGTGCCCCCCCATCCTTCTCTAGTCCTTTGCCATGTTTTGTTTTTGTTCAGAGCACTTTCCACAAAACATGTTACACACACACACACACACACACACACACACACACACACGCAAAGATTGATGTGCTGTCAGTTCTTATTTCATTTGCTGTTTGCATCGCCTCCAGTAGCACCCAGTACACACTTGCTGAATAAATGAAACTGAGATACTCAGAGCAACACATTTCTTTTTAGATAAGCCCACAAAAAAAGTCTTCGCTTCTCAGTTTAAACGGTTCAGCGCTCATCAAAAATCTTGTGATAATTTTTTTTCAGATGCTCTGACCTCTGTGTGACCTTCATCTAACTTCATTAGAACTCGCGTCGTCCAGTAGCAGAATGAGAATCAAGGTACCACTTACCTTCCTCCCAGACACTTTAAGGAAGCAGGATCTGAGACGTCTTCCTTGCCAGGAAGACGGCAGATAATCAGGCTGCAATGGGAACCCCAGGAGGGCGGGAGCTGGGCTGCTCTCATCTCCATTCTTGCACAGAGTAGGCGCTCATGCACTGTTTATCAGAGTTCATATCTGCGGGACCCACACTGCACCTGGTCCTGCACCAGTTGTCACGGAAGCCAGCCCCTCCACTGGGCTAACCGCTCTCAGAGCAAAGAACCAAATCTGGCTTCGATGTGACGCAGGCTGCTTTTTCTAGAAGAAGCTAAACTCGCACCACGTTTGATGAGCAAGCTCCCACTGGTGCTTTCTTTCCTTTGAGTGCACAGCAGAGAATTTCTCACAAGAGAACATTTCAGATCAGAGGATTCTGTCTCTTGGATCTAACTTTTTTCCAGAGACACTGACTAAATGCAGTGACTCTCCTCTTTGGGGTGAATTTCCTGGTTCTGCTCAGATACTGATTCAGCAGATATTCCCTGAGTTAGACCCGAATAGAAACCAACACTCCAGGGCTAGAGTCTCGAGCTGCATCGTGCTCTAGAGGGATCTGAAGAGTCGATAATGCACAGATGTCCACCCACCTCTTTTTTTCTCGTCTTAGTCCCTTCTTGACTAATCTCTTCCACCCTCACGCACACCCCAGCGCTCCTCTCAGACTCATGGACATTTTCTGGTCCTATGGGTCCTGAGAATACTGCAAACCCTCCAAGGTTCAACCATTTGGTATCAGAACATCTGTTTTCTCTTTCGCTCTACCGTTTAGAGAAGCATGTTGTAATTTCCTCAGCAGAAGTGAAAGTGATCAGCGTCTACCCATGGGTCTGTGCAGGCCCTAAAAAGAGCAAGAAGGAACCAGAAAGGAGGTGGTGGTGGGGGACCCGAGAGAGGAGTTAGAGCAAACCTCACAGCTCTACCCACTTGGTGGAAGGAAATGAAAATGGCATTCAGTTTTATTATTGATTATAATTCTCTGTCATCAAACAGGTGCTAGTTAAATTTTTGTTTTGATTTTACACATTACTTTAAACTGATACTTCCTCATTTGCCTGAAGAGAATCTATGCAAGGGTGCACAATTTAATTTGTTAATCTGAAAATGAGCGAAATATTACCAGGCCTTTTGTTGCTTCTGAACATAAGGCCTAAGTTTGTGTAGGGCCCCTGGTCACCATTTAGGTTGTAAACAGGTGTGTCATTTTAAGCACATCTGTAACAGCGAGAGATGCATTACATGGTCAAAGTGGTAAGTGACGGTGGCCTTCAGAAGTGCCAGCCATCCCAGGACAGTGGATGTGCATTGGCTTGTGTGCTTCGAGTTGAGCCAGTGCTCTTGACATCCTGGCCCATCAGAAGGGTCTCACCCAGTCTCTCCAGTTACACTGAATTCTAAATTCACTAGAGCTGGTTTCTAGCTCATTCTCCAGGCTGATTAAATGGCAGCATTGTTAAGGACATCGATGATTTACATAAAATATCCATGGGAACTGCACAGAAACTTGTTGCTGCAGTAGCTGGTAGACACAGAATAACTTCTATGTCGAATTGTTTCCCTGATGACAAGGATCATTTTCCGGTACAGGTGCAACTGTACTATAAAGCAAATGTTATCAGAATCAAGTGGCAATGGTTGCTGAAGAAATGGAGACCATTTACAACTTAGTAAGAATAGAAGAAGAACCTGATTTTAAGAGACTTGCCATGATGTTTGCAGACAGCATATTGGCAAAGTCCTTGTCCATATCATGTGACTGCTGGACTGAGTTTCTTTAGACTTTAATGTTAACATCCACAAAAGTTCTGGGTTAGTTTCTGGAAACTACAGGGTTTTAGCATCGGTCAATTTTTTTCCCTATGCTTGGTGGGCAGGAAAGTGAGAGACCAACTGACAGCTTCTGTCCAGTAACTACCAACAATCCGTTTGACTTTGATTTTCTTTCCGATTAGGACAGTATATGGAAGGTGTATATTAATTCTTTCTCAGGCTTTATTTTCTTACCAGTATTTCCTCTTCAATGTAGGTCCTTTCCAACTGTTTTCTTTTCTCTTTTCTACTGTGCTCTTAAGAGCTGCCACAGAAGGAGATGGACTAGGACTTACATAAGCACAGCTGGTCTTAAGGTGATAAATGTCTGAAGTTATCATTCTGGATTTATGTCTCCTTGCTCTGCAGAGCAATCCATTCAGACAGTTGTCCTCCCTCTTCATGCTCCAAACTCCCTTCCTTCTTCCCTGAATTTGTGTCTGCTGAACTTGAGTTTTCTTTGTAGTCTTTTATGTTATGTGTTTTCTTGTTCAAAAATCTCTTCCTCAGAAAGAATTAATGTGGACGATGACCTTAGCTTCTGTTAGTCCTCATCAGGGGATGGACACCACAGCCCCAGTCTTGGTGAATCCCTTCTCTTGACAGTTCTAGGAGCCTTGATTAATCTCCTCAGATTCGTCATGTTCTTCTACTCTGCCCAGGGACTGTGTCCTTGCCTTTATTTTCACTGCCTAACACAGCATGGTTATTTATTGTTTGGCCATTTCATGCCCTTTCTCATTCTTCCTCTCATCTGCTTGCTCCTTCCTCCACCCCTGGACTTTGCCCATCTTTATCTCTTTCTCATATTCATCTGTCGGTCCACCCATCACTCCTCCTCGTAGACACTTCTCCATAGGTTGAAAAGTAACAACAAAGCTGGGTAGTGGTGACATACACCTTTAATCCCAGCACTTGGGAGGCAGAGCCAGGCAGATCTCTGCGAGTTCAAGGCGAGCCTGATCTACAGAACGAGATCTAGGACAGGCACCAAAATTACACAGAGAAACCCTGTCTTGAAAAAACAAAAACAAAAGCAAACAAACAAACAAAAAGTAGCAAGGAAACTTGCATGTGAGCTGGCTGTTAGGCACTATGTGAAGTCCTGAAAACCATTGCAAAAAAAGAATTGTACTACTTATATTCCTTCTTGAATCCATCAAAATCTGGCCTTTGGGGCCAGACATGGTGGCACACACTTCTAATCCTAGCACTCAGGAGGAAGAGGCAGGTGGATTTCTTTGAGTTTGAGGCCAGCCAGGGCTATGTAGTAAGATCCTTCCTCAAAGCAAGCAAGCAAGCAAGCAAGCAAGAAAACAAACAAACAAACCCAGTTATTGCTCTCCTCTACCCTCAACTCAAATTGGTTTTAGCAGAACCTCCATTGGATTGACTAACACCATTGGTAATTTACCCAATGGGCATCTTACAAGCCTCAGCCCAGCCTGCACATCACTTGCGTCCAACATTGCTGATTTATTCCCCTAGAAACACTGCTTCCCTGGCTTCTCTTACACTGTATACCTTTAGCCTGTCTCCTATTTCATAAGCCCAGTGGATCTCAGACTTCAACATGCAACAGAATCACAGGAAGGGTTTGTTCAAATGCGCACTGCAGGGCTCATTGCTGGGACTTCTGCATTAGCATGGCTGGAGAGAGACCAGATAACTTGCATTCCTCACTTTCCTGGAGATGCAGGTCTGGTGGTCCAGGACTGTCATGTTTAGAATCACAGACTAGCTACTGCTTATCGGTCTCCTCTGCTGGGTCCTCATCTCTCCAAAGTCACAATGTGGGAACACCTTAGGGCCAGTCCTTAGGGCCAGTCCTTAGGGCACTTCATTTTTCCATGAACACCCTAACTTTAGGTTTTAAATAAAATTTCTACACCAAAATCTGAGATGCGATGCGTATCGGTAACCTAATGTCACCCTGAATTCTAAAGCCATCTACCCAACTGCATACCCTTCACATCTTAGATGGGTACCCAGCAGGCATCTCAGACTGAACTGCTTGCTCATCTCCACTCCTAGCAAAACACAACCCTTTTTCTCATGCAGTCTCCTGTTTCACTTCATAGAAGCCTCAAGCTGTATCTTTTCAATTGTTTAGACCAAAAGTCTTAGAATTACCCCGATTTTTCTCTTATGCTTATATCTCACACCCCATCTGTTAGTGGATCCCGTTGTATCTGACTTCAAGATAACATCCAGAATTACCATGTATTCCCTTCATTACTATAACCATGGCCAATCATGATCATCTTTTTCCTAGGCCACCAACATACTCCTTAGTGTTGGCCATGCGCCTACCTTCACCTTTGAAAGTGTTCTGCTCCACACTGCAGGAAGTGGGATGACCTGAAAATTCATCCCAGGCCTAAAAGAAGGCTTTGCACCTCCCAGCCAAAGCCAAAGTCCTGCCCACCACTGCCCACCACTGCCCACCTGGCCCTGCAAGGTCTAGACACCTTCCTCTTCCGAGCCTCCCCTCATTCTGTGTCTGTCCCCAGGCACAGCTCCTTTGCCCACACACTCTCTCAGCCAACTTTATGTCCCCCACTATCACTTCCAGGTCTTTGCTCAAGCCCTGTGCCATCAGAGAGATTGTCCTACTTACATTTCTATTTACCCTGATGACAAGGGGACTCTTCTAGTTCTGTGCTCCCCTGCTCCCATTTTGCTTTTCTCCATGGAATGTACCACCACCTGAAAGGTTAACACTTTATCAAAGATACTTTACTTACTGTCTCTATGCCTTCCATCCTGGCTAGAGCCCAAACTCTCAAGGGCAGGCTCTTTCATCCGTGTTGTTAGTGCTGTGTGTATAACACCCCAAACACTGGTGTGTGGGTAGCTCAAAAAGCATGACTGAATGAATGGATGGGCCCACTTACTCTGGCCTCACTGGCACTGATTCTAAACAGCTAAGCTGGTAAAGCTGAGGGTCATCCAAGATAAATGAACAGAATGAAGCCTGGCCAAAGCAAAATAGAAAATTAAGGTAATAACCAATAAATTAGGGCAAAGGAGCTTTTTTTTTTACTTGTTATAGGATCCTATGGAATCAAGGGACTGGAAGGAAATCGGAGACCAGGCTCAGTCCTACCTCCTGGTAGGAAGAAAGACGGGCACAGTAAACCATGCAAAGTGGACCTTTGCTGTGTCAAGGGCATTGGCAGAAGCATTGTGTTTCCAGGGTTGGAAAATTTCCCCTTTGATGGTAAATAACTCACACTGGGCATTCCTTCTCAAACATACCCTTAAATCAGTCAGCTAAGGGTATGGCTGTCTGTGGTGACTGCCATCTCCTTTTAGTGCTATGGCCTCAGGCAGGCCAGGAAAATAGTGCCATGGAAAGGCCACCAAAAGTGGTGAGGATGTCAGCCTTAGCTGAGGTTACTTCCCTTGGGACGCATTTTCTGTTGTAAGTTACTAACAGTCTCTTGTTGTATTTCCATAGGAAGTAACTGCTAGCTCATTTGCTGATTAAACATTTATACACTATTGGCCGGATTCTGTTAGTTACAGTACACACACAAACAAAACCAAAACAAGCTGGGGGTAGTGGTGTGAGCCTTTAATCCCAGCGCTTGGGAGGCAGAGGCAAGTGGATCTCTGGGAATTCAAGGCCAGCCAGAACTTCATAGTGAGACCCTGTCTCAGAACCCTCACCCGCAAACAAAACAAAAACAACAACAACAACAACAACACACACACACACACACACACACACTTGCACAGGTAAAATTTTCTAGTTTCACA